GAACGCGGCCGCCCCGGCGGGCCCCCCCCCGGGGCCCCCCCCAGCCGCTTTTTTGTGATTGGCTACGGCGCCGCCGGTCCGCCCGGATACTGCGCTCTCCTTTAATGCGACTGGCTGCTCTGGCTTTCCTACCCGGATACAAGCGAGGTCAGTGTTCTGAGTGGCCGCGCGCGAGCTGAAGTCTGCCTAGCAACAGGCTTCTGATTAGTGAGACGGGAGGAGGAAGCACGAGTGTAAACGAGCATGTGCGTGAGTAGTGCGTGTGCGTGCAACGTGTGTGCGTGCGGTGCGCGTGCAAGGGGTGCAGAGCGCGCCTTCAGTGTACACGCAGCGTGTGTGCATGTATGTAGGGTATGGGCATGCGGTGTGCACAGTGCGTGTGCACAGTGCGTGTGCGCGTGTGTACGCAGCGCGTGTTTGCAGTGTGTGCACACACGGTGTGCGCTCAGTGTGTTTATCAATGCAGTACGCGCACAGCGTGTGTGCCGTATGGGGGTGTATGCAGTATGCGTGTACACACAATATGTGTGTGTGCTGCATGTGTGTGCTGGGCAGCGTGTGTGTACAGCCCGTGTCTGTGCAAGCCAGAGGCTCCCGCTCCCAGCGTATGAACCAAGTTTGCTTTTTTGGGAGAAAACGCTGTCGGCACTGAGCCCAGAGGCACGAGGGGTGCGTTAGGAAAATCTAGCCTGTTAAGGAGAGGTTCACCGTGTTGCGTCCCTGGTTTGTTTTCTGGCTCCTGAAAACAGTTTCAAAACAAGATTTGAGGCGAGGAGAGCTGCTGCTGCAGAGGACGACATCATCTTGGTTTTATTTAAGCAAGGGCAGGATGCATGGGTCACCAGCAGTTTGCTGAGTGTGTGAAACTCCCGAAGCCCTCGTGCACTGGGATTTTGGGGTGCGGAGAGGCTTCGGGGGCAGCAGCAGGTGGCTAAACCCAAATATCCGAGGTGCAGTCCCCGCCGGGGTAGCGGATCTCGTGTGCCAGGCAGGGCCCATCGGGCTCCTTCCCAAAATCCACCAGGAAGCTCTCATTGACTGTCAGGCCGCCCTGCTCCGTGTCCACATCCAGCTGCAGCATGACGGAGCCGTCCCTGCGGAGGGGCAAGAGCAGGGAGGCTGGGGTGTGGGGGGACCTGCTCCTGCCTCCAAGGAGCTGCCAAAATTCAGTCCCCGAGCTGCAGGGTCTGCGCCTCCCGCCTGATGAGCTCGTACAATCATCCTCGTTTTATCAAAGTTTTCTTACTTGATGAGGTTGGGGTAGAACTGCTTGTCCCAGGCGCTGTAGAGGGACGTGGTGACATACAGCCTCTTCCCGTCCAAGCTGAGCTGGATCATCTGGGGTCCCCCCGGCACCCTCTTCCCCTGGGAGCAGGCAAAGGAGCGGACGTGCTGCCAGAGGGTGCCAGACCAGGACACTCCTCTGCCTCCCCAAGACCAGTGGTGCAGGCTGCCATGTCCATCCCGTGGGATGCAGTGGAGCAGAACTGCAAGGACCCGCTCCCCAGCCTTGCCACCGCTGCCCAGGCTGGGATTTTGGGGAGATGGCTGGGCTCACCTTGATGAAAAATGGGTCTGGCTGGCTCTGCAGCTCTTCGTCCCTGCACACAGTCACGGGTCCTCCTTTGGTGATGCTGCCACCCAGAAAGACCTGCAGGAGACCAAAGGTTTCGGTGGCCAAGACAGTAAGGAGGGGCTGATTCCAGCTGTCCCCAAGAGATGGATGTGACTGACCAGGAGCCTGCTGCTGCCTCACCTGCCCCACCAGCTTGGGCTTGCGGGTATCGGAGATGTCGTACTGGCGGATGTCTCCGTGCAGCCAGTTGCTGAAGTACAGGAACCTGTCGTCCAGTGAGATGAGGATGTCGGTGATGAAGCCTTGGGGAGGGTATGACAGAGCTGCACAAACAGGCAGCAGCACCGGCAGCGCCTGGGGAAGCCAGGGAGCACCTCGGCACCCAGCCTGGGGACACACTGACCTGGCATGTCTGGGAGAAGCCATCCCTCCACCTTCTTGCTGGGGACTTGGATCACCTTCTCGGCTGCCCAGTCTCCTTGCTGCAGGAGGTGCGGGACAGACCATGGCCCCAGGGGGCTCAGCGTGCATGGTGGAGGCAGGATAAGACCTGGTGCTGGGGCGGATGCTGCATGTGTGCATCCACCACCTCTAGGGCTGTAGCTCAGCTACTTTGCCAGCCATCTCTGGCTCTGCAGAGCCATGGGGAAGATGGGCTCTGGGACCTGAGGAAGGGCTTTGGGGGCCAAAAACTTGTCTAATTTTCCAGCTAGATTAGCTGGTTTGATGAAAGGTGTTCTCTCTCCTCACCCAGTTTGTCATTATGCATAACAACAGACACCAAGAAGAATATTGCTTGGGCTGTTGTAAATCCACAACAAAGGTATAAATAAATCTCCTTTAAATTAAATCATTTCAGCCTAAACTGCTGCCAGTCAGAACAAGTCCTCTGGTGAGATTACCCCAAGCCAGCTCATGTTCTGGGTGCATGGAGGTGGCTGCACAGCACGGGAGGTGGTGTGTGCATCAGTAAGGACCGGAGTAGGGCTGGGAGGACAGTGGGGGGTGCGGGAAGCAGGATGCTGCACAAAGTCCTGTGGCTTGGTCAACCAAGGGGCAGCACCCCTTTTCCACTAACCCTTGGGGAGCACATACCTCGGTCTTGTAGAAGCGGTGGATGGCGCTGCTGATGGTGCAGCCGACGTAGCCCTCGGCGGCGTCAGGGTTGTGGAGGAAGCGTATCTCCAGGGGGGCCGCGTCCTCGCCCACGTCGATGGCCTGGACATATGTGTGAGTGGTCCAGTCCCACACGTTGAGGCGGCGTCCGTAGCACCCTGGGAGGGGAGGGCAGAGGCAGGGTCAGAGGGGATGCTGCGAGGCGCAAGGTCTCAAGCAGATGTGCTATGGGTTCGGTGAGTCCTCAGCCCTTTTAGCTCCCCAGGGGCAAGCCCATGGTCTCTGCACCAGCACACACCAGTTGCTTTGGACCTTGGCAAAAGCCATGGGAAGATGCCCGGCATCCAATGGTGACTATCTCGCTAGGATGGGGTTGAGAAGGGCAATGTGACCTTTGGGGAGGAGCTGGGCTGAGCTGGGGCTTCATCTTTCATCCCTATGGCTGAAATCCAACCCCACGTACCGCTCAACAGTGGCATTTATGGACTGCCTTGCATTGAACTTCTGGTGCTTGCATCTTAAGTGTGTTCCCAGTAAATGGGCTGGGCTTGTCTTTTTTAAATCCACGGGATCTCTAGGAACTGGTGTGAAATTCATTTTGCAAGCAAACTGTCTTGGACAGTTTTATCTATGCCCAGTAGATGCCAGCTCTCACTGGCAACAGAAGAGAGTTGAAATTTCGCCTTTTTGCAGTCCTGCTCAGGATCTCCCTCCTGGAGTATTTAAACAACTGTTTTCTCACCTTTCTTCAGATCATTTGGATCAAACCCATATCCCAGGCATTTTGGGATTCCCCATTCAGTGCTGATCAGGACATTATGGCGTGGCTGGTACCAGAAATCATAACCCATCGGGGGGATCTTGTCCCCTTTCTCCCAGTTCCCCTTGATCTCAAAGGTCTCTCCATCCAGCAGAATAAAGCCACCTGATGCAAAACCAGAAATACATTGGTAGTGCGGAAATCATCCAGATTAACAGTTTACATGTTATAAAACAAGCAGCAACAGACAAATCGACCCACTGCAGACAAGGCTGCTGAATGGGCTGAGAGACCTGGGTGAAGCCTCCAGGACACCTCTGGATGTGGGGACTGTTCCTCCTGTCCTGGCACCCTCTCCCTGGAAGACTGGGGGGACTGGGGTACCTTTCCCACTGCCAGCCGGGTCTCCCAGGGTGCTGATCATGATTTCACCGCTGCCCAAGCAGTGGGAGGTGTGGGGGTAGCCCAGGCTGCACTTCCAGAAGACGTCCTCCGAGTTGACAACCTGCCGGGAGTTCACAGGCACTGTCTCATCCTCCGTGCTGGGCTGTCCCAGGTGAGAAGCATGTTCGCTGCTGCGCTGAATGCAGGTTCGCAAGCCTGGTGTTACTCTGTGGCGCAGCTGGGCAGCTCCTGCCTGACCTCAAGATGGGACTTGCCATGCAGCCAGAGGGGCTGAGCGTGTGAGCTGGGGCAGAGCATGCACAGTCCTGCATCCCCAGGCATGCCGGTACATGGGGCGGCTGCTGC